CCCTCACTCCTCCTCTAAGTTGTAAAGTTCATTTCCAATATAGTGTCTTGTGAGTATCATTGCTGCAATGGGTCATCCTGGTCCTTGTTTAAGCGTTTTGTTATTCTTCTTCCCCTCCCCAAATTAGACAAATGTATATACAAGATGCAGGGTACCAAAATCAAGTACAATAACAACAGAGGATATATCATAAGGGGAAGAACATACAAAGAAAACAAAAAACCCACATAGTACATTAAAAACAACAACAAAGAAAGACCTCTTGTGTCCATATCGGGATTGATTTTGCTTAGCATCATCTTATATGGTCATATGTACATAGCTTTTGAGCTTTTCGGCTCATCTGTTAAAATTTATCCTAGATGTGTACTAATGACTGCAAATGAGGAAACCATGGGATCTGTATTTCTTTGGGTCTGGCCTTTTTCATCTAATATGACTTTTTCCAAGTCTTTCCATTTCCTAACAAATGGGGTGGTATCATTCTTTCTGATGGAAGCGTAGAATTTCATTAGGGAGGAATAGGAGAAACTCTAGGGGTTCTTTTATTTTTAAGATGATTTCATTAGCATCAACTAGTTGGACAAGGGGATTTTATTTTCATATGTCCATATGAACATGCAACATACTTTGAACAAACTCATCCTCTTGGTTACTTTCCCTCATCCCCTCTCCCCACTTTTCAAACCAACGTCAGTAATCTTCATTGTTCTATTTTCACACATTAATGTTCTACCCATATTCTCCCTCTCTACCCCCTCTCTGTTCCTCCTCATTCTTCTCACTAGTCCTTACAAATGACATGAAATTTTATTCCTTTTTATGACTGAAAGCTATTCCATTGTCTATAGCCCCAAAATCAATCATTCTCATTCATAAAATCTGTTTACATAATTACACTAAACCTATAGAGGTATGCATCTTTCTTTGACTAGTAAGATTTCTAAATGAGCATTGAAGATAATAAAATGAGAGATATGTAATAAATGGTGTTAAATTTTGAATATTATTTTGCAATAATTATTTATAAAATGTATGCCTTTAAATTTTCTCCTAAATTTTTATTAATCCAGGGCTGGAATGTAGCTCAGTGGAAAAAAAAATGCTTGCCTAGAAAGTGAAATATCATGGATTTGATCCCCAGTACCAAAAAAAGAGAGGTGATACTATTCAAAAAGAAATACACTCATTACCTGGCTCATATAACTGTCTATCACCTTTACAGGAAAAAAAGGACATGAAAGCTCTTAGAAAATAAAGAGAGAAAGAAAAGATGAAAAAAGCTAAAAATGTTATTCACCCAGCAATAATGGTTTTAGGCAATCTGGTTTTTAAGTAAAGCAAAGAAATATTACCTCCTGATAAGTGTTATTAATAGCTGATATTGCATAGGATATGTTATTTTTACTGTCCATAATGTATATGTATACATGTATATATAACAAACAGTAATTATGAGATTTAAATAAATTGCAAGAATCACAGAGCAGCTGAGTCCAAGATGACTCACAACTGTCATTTTTAATGCAATGATATGAACTATTAAGGGAATCAGTATCTAGCGTGCCAACATTTCCATTGAATTACAAACCGTTTTGCTGTCTTAGATGGGTTATTGAGGAAAGACATTATTTCTTAGATATGGTATATTGCCTGTACAAGGGTAGATTACATTTAAGAAATTTAAAGATTTCATACATTTCGTGGAGATGATCATATAAAATGTTGTAATTCCAAACATGGTGCTGCTTTGCCTCTTTTAGTAGAAGTTATTTGTAAGTATAAAGTACAGCTTTCCTGGACAAAGAAATGATCTTACTTTTTGCAGCAAAGTGTTGCTTTCTTTCAGTCAATTCACCAAGTGCAACTAGAAAATGTTTACTTTTATTATTTGAGAACTAAATAGATGCTTGTTAAAATTGCTTAAATTCCCATGATTGGAGATGTATCAGCTCCCCAACATCAACACATGGAATAGGTTCTGCAAATTACTAGAGCTCCCAACACTTTCCAGACTCTCTTTGCCTTATAGCTTTTACATCAGCTCTTCTCCTTTCCTGGCACTCACTGCACAGCTCTGTGGCTACATTTACTTGCCCTAGTATCTCAGCTTAATTACCATCTCCCTGTGAACTTTCATTGGAATATAATGTCACAACTGATCCATAGTGTTAATCAGCAATTTGTTCTGGCTTATATTTTAACCACAAAAGACATTAGAATGTGAAAAATCCTTGGCACAGGACATTTTAAATATATATGTACTTCTATGTATGCATATGTTTACATATATTGGGTTAAAATGAACAGTTTAACCTCTTATTTCTGCATGGCAATAAGCTTTAAAAGATCATTTAATTCAGTCCAGCATTTTTAAAATATGCTATTTTAATTATATGTTCTCCTCTTTAAAACTGTAAAGGAGATGTACAGAGGGATTATAGTTATATAAGTCAGGTAATGAGTACATTTCTTTTTAATCTATCACCTCTCCCTCCTTTTCTTCCAGGTTTCTCCATACAGGCACCCCTCTATCCCAAGTTGCAAAGTTCATTTCCAACATAGTGTCTAGTGAGTTTCATTCATTGCTGAATTGGTTCACCCTTTGTCACACTATTTCTGTGCTAAACAACTTGACTCTAGTGTTTAAAATAATAAATGCTATTTAAGCCAGGTGCTGGTAGCTCATTCCTGTAATCCTACCTACTCAAGAGACTGAGAGCTGAGGATCACAGTTTGAAGCCATCCCAGGCAGGAAAGTTCACAAGACTCTTATCCATAATTAATCACAGAAAAAGCTGGAAGTGGTGCTGTGGCACAAGTGTTAGGGTGCTAGCCGTGAGAAAAAGGAGCTCGGGGACAGTGCTCAGGCCAAGTTCAAACCCCAGGACATAAGGAGGAGGGAAACTATTTTAAATAACTTAATTGACTCTAGTATTTAAAGACTATCCTGATCTTGAGCCAGGATAGGATAAGGACACCTGCACATCTATGTTCATTGCCTCACTATTCACAGTAGCCAAGATAGGGAAATAGTCCAGATGCCCCACAATAGATGAGTGGATCCTATATACAGTGGAATTTTACATGGCCATTAGAAAGAATAAGATAATGTCATTTGCAGGGAAATGAATGGAACTAAAACAAATCAAATTAAATGAGGTAAGCCAAGCTCAGGGAGACAAATGGCACATGTTCTCCCTGATATACAGAAATTAGATATAAAATACACTAGGATATGATAAATTATACAGGATTCTCCATGCTCACACACAGTGAGGTCAAAGAGGATAGATACTCAGGAAAGAAACACAAAGGAGCAATGCCTAAATGCCACTTCATATTTATATAATATTTATGTGCATGTATACTGAAATGAACAAGAGACCTCTTTTTTTCCTCTTTTTAATTTCAGTTTTTGATGATTCTGTCTTCTTTAACTTATGTAGGGTATATTCAAGTGTATCTCTTCTGAAGGTTTAGGGGTAGGGTACAAAATTTAAGGGAACAGGGCAAAAAAGTGCAACAGTGGGTCTCACTGGACACTGAAGAAAGTGAACTACCAACTCGTGAGTGGAGATAGGAAGGAGAGACTGGGAGAGAGGGAATAGAAGACACTACATGAAAGGAAATGTACTCATTACCTGGCTCATGTAATTGTAATTCCTCTGGACATTACCTCTATAATAATAATAAAGTAAATTAATAGTAAACAAAAATCTGGCCTTTGGTATAACCAATAAATATGTAGTAGAGGCTGATATGTGCATATATATGCAAGCTAATATATATACATATATGTGTTCTATTTATACAGTTTAACTCAGAAGAGTAGCAGTATATCAGTCAGCACCATATATAAGTGAATGTAAAGATTTGAGAATGTACTCCATCAAATGTTGGTTATATATTGGCCTGGGAAGGTGGCTCAGTGGTAGAGCGCTTGCCTTGCATGCATGAGGCCCTGGGTTTGATTCCTCAGCACCACATAAACAGAAAAAGTCAGAAGTAGCACTGTGGCTCAAGTGGTAGAGCGCTTGCCTTGAGCTGAAGAGCTGAGAGACAGTGCCCAGGCCCAGAGTTCAAGCCCCACACCTGTCAAAAAAATGTTGGTTGTATAGTCTACATTTTTAAGGCAAGTATAGGAGCTAGACAAAATAGCTGTAATCCTAGCTATCTAGGAGGCTGTGATATCTAGAGGCTCTTGGTGCACTGCCATCCCAGGCAGAAAAAAATCTGTGCAACTCCATCTCTAGTTAACCAACCAAAAGCCTGGATGGAGATGTAGCTTGAGTGGGAAAGGAGTATCATAATCAAACAACTGAGGGAACTCATAGCTCTGAATTTAAACTCTGACTTAAAAAAAGGTAAGTAGAGGAAATCAAAATTAAAAGAAGTAGTCATGCTTTATCTTATATGAACCTGGAATTTTATTGTTAGGAAAATTCTAATTTAATCAGTGCCATGGGGTTGTTCTATGTTCAGCAAGATCTGAACCTGGTTGATAGAAGACATCCATATTTCCCTATGTTTCTATCAATTCCATGAGAGAGAGAGAGAGAGAGAGAGAGAGAGAGAGAGAGAGAGAGAGAGAGAGAGAGAGAGAAAAGACAGGTTCTCTGCTAGCTAGCTATTTCTGTAGCTTAACAAGTCAAAATCTCCCTGTGATGACAACCATAATCCCATTTTATATTGAAAAACGTGAGTGAAGTTTAGAGGTATTAGTGTATTTCATGATTCAGTTTAAAACACCTTCTAATGAGAAAATAAATTATAGACCTGATTCTAGGTAATTCGAGGTAGATACGTAAATATGCTAAGTAGCTAGCACCTCCAAGCTTCTCCTCTATAGCTTTAAAACATGGTGCTGAGTAATCAAAGCACAGCCAAGAGCATACCGTACACATAGTGAAAGGTCAGTGGAGATGATTCCTACTAAACTAGTCTCTTTTACTCTAGGAAGAAAACACTAGTGATCCCAGAAACACAAATTATACAAGATGGACTTTTTCAACACCAGTACCTACCAATACTTTCTTCTGTCTGGCTTTTCAGGTTTGGAAAGCTCACACAAAGTGATCTCCATTTTGTTCTGTGCCCTATACATTATTGCCCTGGTGGGTAACAGCATCATCATAGTGGTTATCAGGGTAGAGCCATCCCTTCATACTCCCATGTACTTTTTTCTCTCCATGCTGGCTGCCAGTGACCTGGGTCTCTGTGCTACCACTCTGCCCACTTTGCTTGGGCTCTTTTGGTTCAATGTGCGTGAAATCAACTTTGATGGCTGCCTTGTCCAGATGTTCTTCATCCATGTTTTCTCACTAATGGAATCAGGCATCCTGCTCAGCATGGCTTTTGATCGTTACATGGCCATCTCCAATCCACTCAGGTATAGTGCTATTTTGACGAATACAGCTATTGCCAAGATCGGGGTTGGGCTGTTGCTAAGGGCCGTGGCTGTTATATTGCCAGGCCCCTTTCTCATTAAGAGACTGAAGTTTTGTGAGGCCAATGTGCTCTCCCACTCCTACTGCCTACATCCAGACATCATCAAGCTCTCCTGTTCTGACCATCGCATCAATAGCATTTACGGCCTCATCATCATTCTCATCACCTTTGGTGTGGATTCTGCCCTTATCCTGCTGTCTTATTTGAAGATCTTGATCACTGTACTAGGCATTGCCTCCCGTGTTGAACAGCACAAGGCGCTCAACACTTGTGTCTCCCACATCTGTGCTGTGCTGTTGGTCTATGTCCCTATGCTGGGGGTGTCTATTATCCATCGCTTTGGGAAACATGTTCCCTCGGTAGTGCACATTATCATGGGCTATGTATACCTGTTGGTCCCTCCTGTCCTCAACCCTGTAGTATACTGCATTAAAACCCAGGAAATACGTACCCGCATTCTGGGCAATCTAATGAAATCATAGCAGAGAGGACTTTGGGGCCTTGTGCAGATTTTTGGAATAATCCTTGTAAAATCAAATTCTTATGCATGAATGAAAAGTTTAATCGACCATTTTTTTAATATATTCAAATCCTGCATGGCATGGACTTTTCTTCTAGTTTTTAAAGGTTTTTGGGGGCAGTAGTAAGGCTTTGAACTCAGGACCTCACACTTCCTAAGCTGATGTGATACCACTGAGCTACGCCACCTGCCTTGCTTTTCTCTGGCTATTTTTGGATAGGGTCTTGCTTGGTGACTAGAAAAGTAAGCTACTTTTAGGCTTCCCATGACTATTGATTTCCCAAACCCTCAGCACCAAGTCCAGCTTCCTTTCTGTGGAGATCAGGTCAAGATTTTTCCATCTTACAACACCATCTTCCCTCTTAGGTAGTTTGGATGATAGACAAGGCATGGGCCACTATGTGTATATGCATAGTGAGGTGGAGCTATCTAATATATATATAGTATATATTACAAAGTACATTTATGCCTCCCCTAATAAAATGTTTTAACTTATGATAATATGCAAGCCAAATAAAATATAGGCTTAAAACATTTCTAACTAGAAGGGTGATATAGATCAAAATGCATTTTACTCATGACTTGATTTATGAAATTTTAACCTCTTTGTAAAACTACCTAATAAAAGTTTTGACTAGTTTTATCTTCCAAAATTAAGTTTATTAACAAATTTAAACATTTAACTTGATAATTTTCTCAATAAGATTAAATAATTCTCACATCTATCAGTTATATTTATGAATACGTCCATAAACAATAAATTCTTTTTTAGGTCAAGGCACATTAATATGAAAATTAGTGTGAAATATCTAAATGTAATCATAATTAATATATTAGAATATGTCCATGTTGTTAAAAAGAGAATGATTGTATGTGTGAAGTGACAGAATAGAATTTAATTATATTTTTTATTTGTGAATTTCCAACTACATTTGTCTGTTTTTTCCATGTCACTTCTCCTTATTGTTTGCTTGATTTTCTGTAAATATAGAACTGTTCAATAATGTAAAAAAATCTATTAATTTAAAAATAAAAACTACATTTCAAAAAAAAATGTGAGAAGTTTGTAAGAACTCTATTATACTGTTCCCTCTTCAAAACCTCCAAATGTTGCACTAAATATCAGCTTTTGATTTATTTAAATAAATTTAAGTAGTCTCAACAGTTGTCATAGGAAATGTTGTCTCAGAAAAGACAAGCCATATAAAATCTCCCTATTTTTATGCTCTGTAAGTAATGAATATTGAGTTTCAGATATGTGCAGATACATTACTTAGAGACTCTTGCTTCAGAAGGAACTGAAGAAAATATCATTTGAGCTTTATGTGGAGTCTTTTGAGGAACCTCCATACTGCTTTCCAAAGTGGTTGAACAAGTTTACACTAGAGCTCCCCTATGACCCAGCAATCCCACTTTTGGGCATTTACCCAAATGATCACAAACAAGGCCATACTAAGGCTACCAGCACAGTTATGTTTATCACAGCATTATTTACCATAGCTAAGATATGGAACCAACCCAGATGCCCCTCAGTAGATGAATGGATCAAGAAATGTGAGATAGATAGATAGATAGATAGATAGACAGACAGACAGACAATGGAATTCTATGCCTCCATCAGAAAGAATGACATTGCCTCATTTGTTAAAGAAATGGAAAGACTTGGAAAAAATTATATTAAGTGAAGTAAGCCAGGCCCAAAGAAACATAGGCCCCATGGTTTCCCTTATTTGAAATACCTAGTACATGTGTAGGACAGGCAGAAAAGGCCAAAAGCTATGTACATATGACCATATGTACAGATGATGTTAAGTGAAGTGAACCCCAAGATAGGGACACAAGAGGTTTCTTCTTTCTTGCTACTGTTTCTAATGTATTTATAAGGTACCATGTGATTTTCTTGTTTCTTTGTATGTTCCTCCCCCATGATATAACCCCTGTTTTCACTGTATTTGATGTCAGTGCCCTGCATCTTATATATACACTTCTCTAATTCAAGGAGAGGAAGGGAAAAAACAAAATGCTTAAATAAAGGTTGACACATTGTAACAATGAGATGTACAAAACACTATGTTGAAAAGGAACTTTACAACTTCGGCAGAGTGGGGGTTAGTTGTGGAGTTAATTGGGAGAGGAGGGATAGTAGGGGGAAAACAAAGGAGGAGGCAACAATGCTCAATAGGAAATGTACTCATTACCTTGCTCATGTAACAGTAATCCCTCTGTACAGCATTTTTACAATAAAATATACAAAAACAATGAAAAAAAAGAAAATATCATTTGAAAGTTTGAAAGCCATTTGAATCAGCTAATCCAAGTCATGCTGTAGGACCACTTGCTGTGAAAAGAGTCACTAAGCACATAAAATTCTCAAAAGACCTACCTCCTTAGGGTAATTCCCTGGCTTGTTGTTATAAATATCAATGTACAATACAGATGGGTCTATAGATCTGTCTCCTCTGAGCTCTGGAGCAAGGAATGATTCTCTCAATTAAGTGTTATGAATATCACAGTAGACGGCGCTAAGGAAAAATTTAAAATCTACCTTTTTATGTTAATTTTGATTTAGAAAGGCCATGCATCCACCAGGTAAATCAGAACTTTTAAGTAATTGAAACCGTGGGCATTGTAGTTCACATTTCTGGACTAAAAAGTGATTTATCTTACATCCTGGAAGAACAGTAAATGTGCCAATGTTCTTCATGCTGTAGCTGCCATCCTTTCATTGTGTTAAACATGTGAAGTTCTAAAAGCAGTATGTTGTTGCTACTGTTGTTGTTGTTGTTGTTGTTAGTTGTGGGGCCTGAACTCTGGGCCTGGGCACTGTCCCTCAGCTCTTCAGCTCAAGGCTAGCGCTCTACCACTTGAGCCACAGCACCACTTCCAGCTTTTTCTGCTTATGTGGTGCTGAGGAATCAAACCCAGGGCCTCATGCATGTAAGGCAACCACTCTACCACTGAGCTACCTTCATAGCCCCTTAAAAGAAGTTTGAAAGAGTAAATTTGCTACATTGTAAACAACTTGATAAGTATTTGCAGTTATTATTATTGATATTTTGATTGTATTGTCAGTTTCTGTACTGATATTTGATTGTTCTATTTAAAAATGCTGTTAATTATCTGACATTGCTCTACAGCAAAGCCAGGCACTGCCAAGGAGATAAATGAACAAGGCAAATTTTTAGTCAAGGGGCTAATACAATTGTGATTATACCTCTTTCTTGCACTGTTTCAAATATTTCATTTTTTAATTATTTTTATTATCCTTAAGTAGTTATCAAAGAGTTTCAATTCTAGCATCAGGTTTTGAGCACAATGCATCTTCATAAGTAATCACAACTTTTATCATTCTCCCTCATCTCTCCCAAACTCACCTCTCCCCTCAGTTAACTGGGTCCATTTTCACTTGTGTACATTGAATATTATGATTGCTTTTGCCACCCTCTTTTCTCCATTCATCTACATCCCTTCCTTGACCTTCTCTCCCCAACCTGACATGTTCCATCTACTAGCGTTCATTTTTTAACTGTAGATTTGTTGTTTGAAGGAGTTATACCATCGCAATACTCTAGTGCATACTTTAGTTAATATGTTTGTTCATATATGCATATGACACTATGTATTTACATATATATTTATAATTAGATCTCCTTTATATATTTTTATGCATGCTATCTCTGCTCTTGGACCAGAAATTTTACACCTTCTTCCTCATCTGAACATAGAAAGGGAGAAAAAAAGTGGTAGAGGAGAATGAATACAGTGTGAGGGTAATAGGATAAATAGAATATGTGCTGCTGATGTGATCGTGTGCCTCACTTCTTGGTTAAAAGTTTATACTATCTGAAAATAATTTCACTTAATGCAGGGGCTGAGCGATATCTTTACTTGTGATTGTGCATCCACATGGTGGTGGTAGTATGACAGCCCCATAGCCAGATGGTAGAACCTGTGCAGATCTGATTTTGGCAACGATTTCTGCATTGAATAACATTTGTTATCCATGATTAATACTCCTGGGTTACAACCAAAACATATGAGTAAACATATACATCATTTTGCTAACATTGCTGTTTTTAATTACCAACATGACAAACTGAAATAATGATTTATAGAATGGAAAAAGAATAATTTGTACTTGAAACATTTTACAGAAAATCCATATTTACTTTTAAATAATTATTGATGTCCTAAAAATAAGAACTATTCCTATAAAAAAACAATTGGTAAAATTTGATCTTATTCTCTTGCTAGATCTGAAGATGCCCATCATGCTATGCCATAAAAAGCTCATTCATATTGGATAGGCATTGGATGGATAGTAATATGGATAGACTATTTACTGTGTATAGGTATTAGTGTGAGTGGTTATATATCTTCCTTTGAATGTTTGTCTGCTTGGCTGTTCAATGAGTTACAAGACAGAGGTGAGATAGTTGTTAGGCAATGGATTTTTATTTAACTAAAGGTTAAGTAATACAACTTTTGCAGCACTTTAAATTTCATGTAAATTCATCTATTCAAGTATTGTCTTCAAAGGCTTACATGTGACACAAATGAAAAGATATTTTCTCTTGTGGTAGAAAATTTAGGCTAACAGCTATACTGGAAGTGGCCCTGGTTCAGAGGTAAAAGAATATAAATTATACTCATACTGCTGCTAACAAGCTAGGTGACCTTTTGATTTATTTGCATCAATATATTTCTAACCAAATAAAAAATGGATTATTTAATTGTAATGATTTCTCTTATCTCTTTACACTTTTGAATTTCTCAGGGTTAGGAAAGAAAAGTTTTAATGCATACTGTAAGCATGTTCTTTATGTTTGTTGTATTTTAATGAACTTATTAATTAAAAACTCTTTTAACATTTTGAAAAAAAAAAAGAAAATTTAGGCCAACAGAGAAAAGCTTACAAATTTAGAGAAGGACACAAGAATAGACATCTTCATGCTGTTTCCA